ACCTACCTATCTACCAACCTACCTACCTACCTATCTACCAACCTACCTACCTATCTATCTACCAACCTACTTACCTACCTATCTACCAACCAACCTACCTACCAACCTACCTACCTACCTACCTATCTACCTACCTACCTACCTACCTACCTACCTACCTACCAATCTATTTATATATATACAGTATATATCCATCTTTCACAGGGACTGGCCTCCTGCTGTTTCCCAGAGTCAGGACTAAACATGGGGAGGCAGCCTGTCAGATTTATGCTGCTAAAATCTGGAACAGTCTTCCTTGAAATGTGAGACAGGCTTCTTTTCTGACAATGTTCAAATTCAGGTTAAAAATTGTTCTGTGTCGCTGGGATTTTATCTTTACTGTTTTGAATGTACTGTGATGAACTGTGCTATACAATTAAACTCACCTTGCTTTGTCCAATTAGTCGGGTTAGAATAGAATATAGTAATTATAATAACCAGCAGTGGCCAATCAGATGCATCTTAGTGTTATTCTAAATCTCTAAATCATTTCTGAGGCTGCAGCACATTTGCTGTGTTTTTATTGGTTTTGAATCAGGTCCATGAGGGATTTGATCTGAGAGAGATCCCTTTAATCTGGCTTTGGTCTATTTTGACTTTGGCAGTGACGTTATTTCAGTGTTCATTCGTTTCTCGTTCGCTAGAGACAGTCGATAATAATAACAATAACTTTAAAATGTGTGCGTAATATGTTTAAATCTCCTTATGCCTTACACACAAGAGACGAGCCCCAATATGTTACACCCGAGAGACGAGAACAATATGTTACACCCAAGAGACGAGCCCCAATATGTTACACCCAAGAGACGAGCCCCAATATGTTACACCCGAGAGACGAGCCCCAATATGTTACACCCGAGAGACGAGCCCCAACATGTTACACCCAAGAGACGAGCCCCAATATGTTACACCCGAGAGACGAGCCCCAATATGTTACACCCGAGAGACGAGCCCCAATATGTTACACCCGAGAGACGAGCCCCAATATGTTACACCCAAGAGACGAGCCCCAATATGTTACACCCGAGAGACGAGCCCCAATATGTTACACCCAAGAGACGAGCCCCAATATGTTACACCCAAGAGACGAGCCCCAATATGTTACACCCAAGAGACGAGCCCCAATATGTTACACCCGAGAGACGAGCCCCAACATGTTACACCCAAGAGACGAGCCCCAATATGTTACACCCGAGAGACGAGCCCCAATATGTTACACCCGAGAGACGAGCCCCAATATGTTACACCCGAGAGACGAGCCCCAATATGTTACACCCAAGAGACGAGCCCCAATATGTTACACCCAAGAGACGAGCCCCAATATGTTACACCCGAGAGACGAGCCCCAACATGTTACACCCAAGAGACGAGCCCCAATATGTTACACCCGAGAGACGAGCCCCAATATGTTACACCCAAGAGACGAGCCCCAATATGTTACACCCAAGAGACGAGCCCCAATATGTTACACCCAAGAGACGAGCCCCAATATGTTACACCCGAGAGACGAGCCCCAACATGTTACACCCAAGAGACGAGCCCCAATATGTTACACCCGAGAGACGAGCCCCAATATGTTACACCCGAGAGACGAGCCCCAATATGTTACACCCGAGAGACGAGCCCCAATATGTTACACCCAAGAGACGAGCCCCAATATGTTACACCCAAGAGACGAGCCCCAATATGTTACACCCGAGAGACGAGCCCCAACATGTTACACCCAAGAGACGAGCCCCAATATGTTACACCCGAGAGACGAGCCCCAATATGTTACACCCCAGAGACGAGCCCAAATATGTTACACCCAAGAGACGAGCCCCAATATGTTACACCCGAGAGACGAGCCCCAATATGTTACACCCGAGAGACGAGCCCCAATGTGTTACACCCGAGAGACGAGCCCCAATATGTTACACCCGAGAGACGAGCCCCAATATGTTACACCCGAGAGACGAGCCCCAATATGTTACACCCGAGAGACGAGCCCCAATATGTTACACCCGAGAGACGAGCCCCAATGTGTTACACCCGAGAGACGAGCCCCAATATGTTACACCCCAGAGACGAGCCCCAATATGTTACACCCAAGAGACGAGCCCCAATATGTTACACCCAAGAGACGAGCCCCAATATGTTACACCCAAGAGACGAGCCCCAATATGTTACACCCGAGAGACGAGCCCCAACATGTTACACCCAAGAGACGAGCCCCAATATGTTACACCCGAGAGACGAGCCCCAATATGTTACACCCAAGAGACGAGCCCCAATATGTTACACCCAAGAGACGAGCCCCAATATGTTACACCCGAGAGACGAGCCCCAACATGTTACACCCAAGAGACGAGCCCCAATATGTTACACCCGAGAGACGAGCCCCAATATGTTACACCCCAGAGACGAGCCCAAATATGTTACACCCAAGAGACGAGCCCCAATATGTTACACCCGAGAGACGAGCCCCAATATGTTACACCCGAGAGACGAGCCCCAATATGTTACACCCGAGAGACGAGCCCCAATATGTTACACCCGAGAGACGAGCCCCAATATGTTACACCCGAGAGACGAGCCCCAATATGTTACACCCGAGAGACGAGCCCCAATGTGTTACACCCGAGAGACGAGCCCCAATATGTTACACCCCAGAGACGAGCCCAAATATGTTACACCCAAGAGACGAGCCCCAATATGTTACACCCGAGAGACGAGCCCCAATATGTTACACCCAAGAGACGAGCCCCAATATGTTACACCCGAGAGACGAGAACAATATGTTACACCCGAGAGACGAGCCCCAATATGTTACACCCGAGAGACGAGAACAATATGTTACACCCAAGAGACGAGCCCCAATATGTTACACCCGAGAGACGAGCCCCAACATGTTACACCCGAGAGACGAGCCCCAACATGTTACACCCGAGAGACGAGCCCCAATATGTTACACCCGAGAGACGAGCCCAAATATGTTACACCCGAGAGACGAGCCCCAATATGTTACACCCAAGAGACGAGCCCCAATATGTTACACCCAAGAGACGAGCCCCAACATGTTACACCCGAGAGACGAGCCCAATATGTTACACCCAAGAGACGAGCCCAAATATGTTACACCCAAGAGACGAGCCCCAATATGTTACACCCAAGAGACGAGCCCCAACATGTTACACCCAAGAGACGAGCCCCAATATGTTACACCCAAGAGACGAGCCCCAATATGTTACACTCTGGCTCTACTCTGGGTGAGCAGGTGTGAGGGGGAGGAGGTGTGAGGGTGAGGAGGTGTGAGGGTGAGCAGGTGTGAGGGGGAGGAGGTGTGAGGGGGAGGAGGTGTGAGGGTGAGGAGGTGTGAGGGTGAGGAGGTGTGAGGAGGTGTGAGGGTTATATATATATTTATTATATGACTTGGACCGTACGCGCGCTCTGATTGGCTGATTTGCTGTCTGATATTTTCCCATCTCAGACCGTTACCATGACAATTGGTCCAAACAGCGCGTATCACATTTGATATTTTTCCTGAGTTTCCTCGGTAAAAAAAGAAATAATGGGCGACAACTGGGAGCATTCTCCAGTGAATTCTATCATCCGGACGAGTTTGACGAGTTTGACGAGCCAGAGGGAGAAATTACAGACAAAAGAAAAAATAACTAACAAACAAGATGAGATTGACAACCAGAAAGCTTAAAATACGATTAGGAAAACCAAGTCGGAGATCAATATTTGCATAAATTAAAAATAGTCATATAATAAAACATTTATTAACCTCGCTTGCTCGGTCTGTGCAGAGAAACATCAGACCTTGGCTCGGTCTGTACATTAAGGCCAAAGTCTGAGATTTCTCTGTACAGACCGAGCAAGCGAGGTTAATAAGCTGGTAGTATTTTCCTGTATCAAAAAGACAACAAAACACACATGAACATTCAACAAGAACAACAGACAAACACAAAAATATCCAAATAATATTGTTAACAAAATACTCATATCAGCCTAGTTTTAAGTTTCTTATGACAGGGTATTAACAGACAATCCCATCAAATAAACAGTGATTTTCCCAGAAGGTGTTTGTTGAACCGGAGCGAGCGAGAAAACATTATTATTAAACAAAAGATTGATTTTAAATTGGTTTCACATCACCTTTGGTACAAAATGTTTCCAGAATCTTCTTTTTGCTTCAGTGCGATGTGTAAAAAGACGTTGGACTCGGAGCATGGATTATTTAGAAAAATGTGTTACACTAAACTTTGAAAAATGTCTTCAGTGAAACAGCAGCTTACTTTGCTGTTGGAGAGCGCGGCTTTAATATTCATGCGCTAAAAATAAAACCGCAGAAATGACTTTAGCGAGTTCTGTCCGACGAATACTGAGCCATTTATATTATTACACAAATGACTTCTGTGCACAGCTGCAAAGACACAATGGCAGTTTTTCTTTTGGGGATTTTCTATGATAAAGGAGCACTAATAATTATTTTCTAAGACCTAGTTTTTTTTTTTATCATTGGCTTTTTACCAAATGTTTGAAATACAGTTTGATGTGAAAAGTGTCTCAAACCAAGTGCAACGCCCCAAAAAGGTAGATTTCAGTTCCAAGCTTCAAGATCTGGGGTCGTGTTGCAAACAGGAGACATGCTATCTATAGTTATGGCAGAGTAATATATCTAGTTATGACAGTGTTATTACCTTGTTTGTAAAGTTCTTTCATTAGCTCAGGAGGGTACAACACATTAAAAAGTGCCTTCGTCCACATAGAAAACAAGATGGACTTTCCTAATCTAATAAAAGCAATAATAATGTTTTATCCAGCGCTTTTCTGGACACTCAAAGACTCTTCACATCTCATTATCCATTCACTCCACACACAGCTGCCCTGGGACACACTGACAGAAGCGAGGCAACCAGTCTGTGCCATCGGCCCCTCCCACCACCACCAACCATTCACACACACACCAGACCTACCCCACTCAGGTGCACGTCTCCTTTGCTGGAGAAGTGGCTGGTCAGTTGGTACAACATGGTCCGTCCACGCTTCCGGGCCTCGCTGAAGTGGGAGCTGCTCTTCCTCCTTCCTCCTTTGTCGTCGGAAACTGTCAAAACAACGACCTGTGTTAGATTTGTGTGTGAAGTTAGTAAGTAATATACTGTAGTTATATAGCGCATTTTTACAGACCAAGGTACAGACCCAAAACGCTTTACAAAGTTCAGAAACCAGATATTTTCCATTCACACACGGTGAGGACAGAAGCGAGACTCCGAACACACTGGACCATCAAAGCCTCCGACCAAACACCCTCCATTCACTCACTCATTCATAACATGGTAGGGGTAGGGGTTCCTGCTCTGGCTCCTGCTCTGGCTGCTCTGGCTCCTGCTCTGGCTCCTGCTCTGGCTCTTGCTCTGGCTCCTGCTCTGGCTGCTCTGGCTCCTGCTCTGGCTCTTGCTCTGGCTCCTGCTCTGGCTCCTGCTCTGGCTCCTGCTCTGGCTCCTGCTCTGGCTCCTGCTCTGGCTCCTGCTCTGGCTCTAGGCTCGTGCTCTTGCTTCTGCTCTGGCCCCTGCTCTAGCTCCTGCTCTGGCTCCTGCTCTAGCTCCTGCTCTGGCTCCTGCTCTAGCTCCTGCTCTGGCTCCTGCTCTAGCTCCTGCTCTGGGTCCTGCTCTGGCTCCTGCTCTGGATCCTGCTCTGGCTCCTGCTCTGGCTCCTGCTCTGGCTCCTGCTCTGGCTCCTGCTCTGGCTCTAGGCTCGTGCTCTTGCTCCTGCTCTGGCCCCTGCTCTAGCTCGTGCTCTGGCTCCTGCTCTGGGTCCTGCTCTGGCTCCTGCTGTGGATCCTGCTCTGGCTCCTGCTCTGGCTCCTGCTCTGACTGGCTCCTGCTCTGGCTCCTGCTCTGGCTCTAGGCTCGTGCTCTTGCTCCTGCTCTGGCCCCTGCTCTAGCTCCTGCTCTGGCTCCTGCTCTGGCTCCTGCTCTAGCTCCTGCTCTGGCTCCTGCTCTGGCTCCTGCTCTGGCTCCTGCTCTGGCTCCTGCTCCTGCTCTGGCTCCTGCTCTAGCTCCTGCTCTGGCTCCTGCTCTGGCTCCTGCTCTAGCTCCTGCTCTGCACCTGCTCTGGCTCCTGCTCTAGCTCCTGCTCTGGCTCCTGCTCTAGCTCCTGCTCTGGCTCCTGCTCTGGCTCCTGCTCTGGCTCCTGCTCTAGCTCCTGCTCTGGCTCCTGCTCTGGCTCCTGCTCTGGCTCCTGCTCCTGCTCTAGCTCCTGCTCTGGCTCCTGCTCTGGCTCCTGCTCTGGCTCCTGCTCCTGCTCTAGCTTCTGCTCTGCTCCTGCTCTGGCTCCTGCTCTAGCTCCTGCTCTGGCTCCTGCTCTGGCTCCTGCTCTGGCTCCTGCTCCTGCTCTAGCTTCTGCTCTGCTCCTGCTCTGGCTCCTGCTCTGGCTCCTGCTCTGGCTCCTGCTCTGGCTCCTGCTCTGGCTCCTGCTCTGGCTCCTGCTCTGGCTCCTGCCCTGGCTCCTGCTCACTGTAAACCCTAACTTCAATCCTACTTCAGATATCAAAGTTATTTTAAATAGATTTTTCCCAGTAAGTAGATATTACTCATTTATTGTTAGTTTATTTAAAGCTTGCCTATGTCACTCAGGGTTTTCTTTGAATTGAACTGTTTCTGTTCAAGTAAGCCTCACTTTTGACATTTTGACGTGTAGAGTCTTTAATGAGGCAGGTGTGACACTGGCAGGGTGTCCTGGTGGCTGAGTGGGTAGCACCATTACCTCTCAACTACAGGGTACTGAGTACATAGGTAGAAATTTAAACTTTATTGCAATCACTTGAGTTACTTACTCTGGACACCATCGCTCCTGTGAAGGTTAAAATAGTGAAAAATAAGCAGAAGGCGCCGTGGGCTACAGCAGACTCGGTCAGGGCACAAAAGAGAAAGTGCCGGAGGGCCGAGCGGAAGTGGCGCAAGTCCAACCTCCAGGTTGATTACAAGATCTTCAAAGATAAGTTGTGCGAGTTTAACCAGGTGCTACGTAGTACGAGAGAAAGGTATTTTTCTGAAATGATTGAAGGCTGCAGCAACATCTGCGTGTTCTGTTTTCAACAATTAATAGATTAACAAACCCCCCTGTTCAGATGCCATTAGAGCTAACTTCCAAACGTAAATGTAATGAGTTTGCACATTTTTTCAATGACAAGGTTCAAGGCATCAAAAACGCCATTGTCTCCAATCCACAGATAACCATCCAACAGCCAGAAAGGCTCTTTGAGCTAACTTACTTTGCACCTGTAAATGATCAAACTGTCCAAGAGATAATCTCCAGTTTGAGCTCCTCCACATGCAGCTTGGATGTACCGTGACAAGCTGGAGGAGGTTGCTCCTGCTGTTAGTGGTGGACAGGTTGAAGCGGCATACGTGACTTCCCACTTAGACTCTTCAGTGGGCCTTAATAAATTCATGGCTGTGAGCCAAGCAGAGGTGATCTCTGTGGTCACATCCTCAAAAGCCTCAACTTGCATGTTAGACGCAGTCCCGACATGGCTCTTCAAAGACATACTTCCTTTGATAATTGAGCCTATCGTAAATATAATAAACGCATCCATACAATGTGGCTATGTCCCACAAGCTTTTAAAACCGCGGTAATCAAACCCCTTCTGAAGAAAACAAACCTGGACCCAGAAATACTTACAAACTACAGACCGATCTCGAACCTCACTTTTATATCTAAAATCCTGGAAAAACTTATAGCTGAGCAGCTCCGCTGCCACCTGCAGGAAAATGATATGTTTGAAGTCTTTCAATCAGGATTCAGAGCTCATCATAGCACTGAAACGGCACTAGTCAAAGTCACAAATGACTTACTACTAGCTGCCGATAATGGACAAGTGTCAGTGCTGGTCCTACTGGACCTTAGTGCTGCATTTGACACAATAGACCACAGCATTCTACTGCAGAGGCTAGAATGTGATATAGGTCTTAGAGGAACAGCCCTTGGCTGGTTTAAATCCTATTTATCAGATCGATATCACTTCGTCAATGTGAATCAGGACTCGTCGCCTTATTCTGGAGTGGAATTCGGTGTGCCGCAGGGTTCGGTACTCGGACCGATTCTTTTTACTCTCTACATGCTGCCACTGGGAAACATTATTAAAAAGCATGGAATTAATTTCCACTGCTATGCAGATGACACACAGCTTTATCTGTCGATGAAGCCTAATCAGACAGATCAGCTAGAAAAGCTCAGTGCCTGCATAAAGGACCTTAAAATGTGGATGACTCTTAACTTCCTACTTCTCAACCCGGAGAAGACAGAAGTGATCCTACTCGGTCCGAAGCGCCTGCGTGACTCCCTCACTAACCAGATGGTTACTCTCGATAATGTCAGTATAATACCCAGTAACACTGTGAGGAATCTTGGAGTCATTTTTGACCAAGAACTCTCCTTCAAGGCTTATATAAGCCAAGCAACTAAAACGGCGTACTTCCACTTACGGAACATCGCTAAAATTAGGAATTTTCTTCCTAAAAGTGACGCGGAAAAACTCATTCACGCGTTTGTCACCTCAAGGCTCGACTACTGTAACGCTTTACTGGCAGCGTGCCCTAAAGCCTCTTTGAAGAGCTTCCAGCTCGTTCAGAATACAGCAGCTAGGATCTTAACAGGTACCAAAAGGAGGGAGCACATAACTCCGGTGTTAAAATCACTCCACTGGCTCCCTGTGGAGTACAGAATAAAGTTTAAAATCCTACTCTTAACATATAAAGCCATAAATGGCTTGGCTCCTTCTTATCTCCAAGACACGTTAGTGTCGTATCAACCAAGTCGAGCGTTGCGCTCACAAAACGCCAGACGTCTGGTGGTCCCTAAGGTCTCAAAGGTCACTGTTGGTGGCAGAGCATTTAGCTACCAAGCTCCTTTACTGTGGAATCAGCTTCCCATTTATGTTAAGGAAGCAGATACGGTCTCCACATTCAAGGCCAGGCTTAAAGCACTTTACTTTAATTTAGCATATAATTAGGTAATATATAATATGTAGTGTATATATTATATATATATGCTGTATTATGTTATATATTATGTTATATATTATTCAATAATGTATTGTGTTATGTTGTATATTATGTTATATATTATGCTGTATGTTATTCTTTATTCAAGGCTAGGTTTAAAACAGTCCTCTTTAGTTTAGCATATGGCTAGGAAGGTAAGACTCGGAGAAGGTTAAACTCCTCAGAGTGTTAGTCAAGCTGCATAGGGAGTCAGTTTGCTGGGAGAAGTATGGTAACTTGAGCACTATCCTCTCCTCCTTCCTACTTTATCTGTTTAGCATTTTTAGGATTCTGACTGTAGTTTGTTCATTGCTATTCACCCGTTGTCCCATTGTCTGTTTCATGGTACGATGACGGGATCTCTGAGCCTGGCCTCTTCCATCTACACCTGCGGACTGCCCCGCCCGACCCGCCTGGGAGTGCTTCGGTCCTGCACCGGACCTGTCCACGTTCAGCGTCCACTGGTCCACGTTCTGTAGCTAGCTTAGGTCCTAGATCATTAGTCTGTCCGTCCGGAGGAGCGGATCCCTTTCTCATATGGGTCTCCCTCCCTGTGGGTTTCCCTAGTTCTCCTCCAAGGTTTCTCACTTTTTCCCACTGGGTTTTTTAAGAGTTTTTCCTTGTCGATGCAGGAGGGTCTTGTTGGACAGTTAGTGTCCAACAGAAAGGATTGGTGATGATCAGGACACTTTAGCATTCTACAACATGTATGGACATTTTCTTCTGTGTGTGCTTTATACTGTATTCTTCATGTGTTTTAACTGTTGATTCTCTGACCTGTGTTGGTGATTTCAATGGTTTTGTTAAGTCCTCTGAGATGACTTCTGTTGTGACCTAGGGCTATACAAGAATAAATTGTATTGTATTGTATTGTACTACCCACTAGATTTCTGAAGTCTGTTCTGAGCAGTCTGTTACCTTCACTCACACAGATAGTAAACATGTCCCTTGATTCTGGAATATTCCCAAAGGCCCTGAAAACTGCAGTCATCAGGCCCCTGCTAAAAAAGAGCAGTCTGGATGCTACGGTACTTAACAACTATCGTCCCATCTCAAATCTGCCATTTATGGGGAAAGTCCTTGAAAAAGTTGTCTACCTACAGCTTACTAGATTTCTTATAATCAACAACTCATTTGATATGTTTCAGTCCGGCTTTAGACCCCACCACAGCACTGAGACTGCTCTCGTCAAGGTTACAAATGATATCCGGCTGAACACTGACGCAGGCAAAGTCTCAATCTTAATCTTGTTAGATCTAAGTGCTGCCTTTGACACTGTCGACCATGAGATCCTCTTACAGAGACTAGAGGACTGGGTTGGCGTCGCTGGCTCCGCCCTAAGTTGGTTTAGGTCTTACCTTGAAGACAGGAAGTACTTTGTGGAGATTGGAAACTGTGTCTCAGATCATATGGCCCTGACCTGTGGAGTCCCACAGGGGTCGATCCTGGGACCTCTTCTGTTCAATCTCTACATGCTGCCGTTAGGTCAGTTAATACGCAGAAACAAAGTGTCCTATCATAACTATGCAGACGACACTCAGATCTATGTCTCACTGACTGCAGGAGAACATGGACCAGTGGACTCACTCCTTCACTGTATCCAACAGATCAGTCAGTGGATGCAAAACAACTTCCTTCAGCTAAACGCAGACAAAACTGAAATGATTGTCTTTGGTCCCCAGAAACAAAGAGAGAGCGTCATCTGTCACCTACAGTCTCTCTCCCTAAAACCTTCAAACAAGGTCAGAAATCTAGGGGTAATACTGGACTCAGACTTAAATTTTAATAGCCACATCAAATCAGTAACATCAGCAGCTTTTTACCATCTAAAAAACATTGCCAGGATCAAAAACATAGTGTCTAAAGCAGACTTGGAGATTCTTATCCATGCATTTGTCTCCAGTAGGTTAGACTACTGCAATAGCCTGCTCACAGGTCTGTCCAAACAGGCTGTAAAACAGCTGCAGTACATTCAAAATGCAGCAGCTCGAGTCCTGACTAGAACCAGGAAGTACGACCACATTAGTCCTGACTAGAACCAGGAAGTACGACCACATTAGTCCAGTCCTCAGGTCCCTGCACTGGCTTCCTGTGGCTCAGAGAATAGACTTTAAAACAGCTCTGCTTGTGTACAAGTCTCTCCATGGCCTCGCACCAAAATATATTAGTGACATGTTAGTCCCATATGAACCAGCCCGGACTCTGAGGAGCACAGGGACTGGACTCCTGTTAGTGCCCAGAGTCAGAACTAAACATGGGGAGGCTGCTTTTCAGATTCATGCTGCTAAAATCTGGAACAGTCTTCCTGAAGATGTGAGACAGGCCTCCTCTCTGACAATGTTTAAAACCAGGTTAAAAACGGTGCTGTTTAGCTGTGCATACAACTGAGGGATTTTATATTTTTATCTTTCGTTTTAATGTTCTGTGATTATTTATGATTTTAATGCATCTTGTTCAGCACTTTGAGTTGCCTTGTGTATGAATTGTGCTATACAAATAAACTTGCCTTGCCTTGCCTTGCCTACTTGGTAATATCAAGTAAACGATGTACTCGAGGAATTCAAGTGAAGTTAATACGCAATTTATTTCCATGGTTTTTTCAAGTAAACTTTACTTGTCAGGGTTTACAGTGCTCTAGCTCCTGCTCTAGCTCCTGCTCTGGCTCCAGCTCTGGCTCCTGCTCTGGCTCCTGCTCTGACTCCTGCTCTGGCTCCTGCTCTGGCTCCTGCTCTGGCTCCTGCTCTGGCTCCTGCTCTGACTCCTGCTCTGGCTCCTGCTCTAGCTCCTGCTCTGGCTCCTGCTCTGGCTCCTGCTCTGACTCCTGCTCTGGCTCCTGCTCTGGCTCCTGCTCTGGCTCCTGCTCTGGCTCCTGCTCTGGCTCCTGCTCTGGCTCCTGCTCTAGCTCCTGCTCTGGCTCCTGCTCTGGCTCCTGCTCTAGCTCCTGCTCTGGCTCCTGCTCTGGCTCCTGCTCTGGCTCCTGCTCTGGCTCCAGCTCTGGCTCCTGCTCTGGCTCCTGCTCTAGCTCCTGCTCTGGCTCCTGCTCTGGCTCCTGCTCTGGCTCCTGCTCTAGCTCCTGCTCTGCTCGCTCCTGCTCTGGCTCCTGCTCTGGCTCCTGCTCTGGCTCCTGCTCTGGCTCTGCTCTGGCTCCTGCTCTGGCTCCTGCTCTGACTCCTGCTCTGGCTCCAGCTCTAGCTCCTGCTCTAGCTCCTGCTCTGGCTCCAGCTCTGGCTCCTGCTCTGGCTCCAGCTCTGGCTCCTCCTCTGGCTCCAGCTCTGGCTCCTGCTCTGGCTCCTGCTCTGGCTCCTGCTCTGGCTCCTGCTCTGGCTCCTGCTCTGGCTCCTGCTCTAGCTCCTGCTCTGGCTCCTGCTCTGGCTCCTGCTCTGGCTCCTGCTCTGACTCCTGCTCTGGCTCCAGCTCTAGCTCCTGCTCTAGCTCCTGCTCTGGCTCCAGCTCTGGCTCCTGCTCTGGCTCCAGCTCTGGCTCCTCCTCTGGCTCCTCCTCTGGCTCCAGCTCTAGCTCCTGCTCTAGCTCCTGCTCTGGCTCCTGCTCTAGCTCCTGCTCTAGCTCCTGCTCTAGCTCCTGCTTTGGCTCCTGCTCTGGCTCCTGCTCTGGCTCCTGCTCTGGCTCCTGCCCTGGCTCCTGCTCCGTCTACGCCCCATTCACACCATGCTTTTTGCCACCACCAGTGCTTGACCCCGGGGGATTTGAGCCCTTCTCAGCAGCAGATGATCTCCCCTCTGCAAGTGTCACGGCCGGGGTCATTGCACCAAACAAATACATCTATTTTATGCATTAATGTTTCTGTCTTGGTCTCTTCAGATTGAATTACACCTTTACACCAGCAGTAGCTCCAGAACAAAACAAGAATCCTACCAAAGCATGAGAGAATAAACGTGCTTGTCTCAGCCTATATTTTTCCTTTCCTTTGCACTAAAACATGTTGTGTTCAGAGCGATGTCTGAAGTTCCACTTGAAGACTTCCCGACTCCCTGTTGGAAAAACACTGTTGGACTTGACTGAGCAAAGGAGAGCCAGACAAATGTGCAGGGTCAGAGGCAGAGCTGACGGCTGGAGGTCGACAATCACTCTGTTCATAAATCACTTTCTATAGTCAGCAAATAAGAGGCCGTTGGTAAACCTCTGTATCTGATCTTTTATTACTGATAATTACACTTTTATTACTGTGATAATTACACTTTTATTATTGTGATAATTACACTTTTGCTTTCGACTGCGCTGGAAACGGCTGCGAGTCCTAAGTGTCTCTGAAACAGTTGTTTTTGTGTTTTACAATTGTTATTTTTTTCTTTCTTTTTTCTGCCTGAGATGTTGCTGCAGTTCAGTGTTCATGGTTTTACACTGGTCCAGACCAGAGCAGAGAGGATTCATGGTTTTACACTGGTCCAGACCAGAGCAGAGAGGATTCATGGTTTTACACTGGTCCAGACCAGAGCAGAGAGGATTCATGGTTTTACACTGGTCCAGACCAGAGCAGAGAGGATTCATGGTTTTACACTGGTCCAGACCAGAGCAGAGAGGATTCATGGTTTTACACTGGTCCAGACCAGAGCAGAGAGGATTCATGGTTTTACACTGGTCCAGACCAGAGCAGAGAGGATTCATGGTTTTACACTGGTCCAGACCAGAGCAGAGAGGATTCATGGTTTTACACTGGTCCAGACCAGAGCAGAGAGGATTCATGGTTTTACACTGGTCCAGACCAGAGCAGAGAGGATTCATGGTTTTACACTGGTCCAGACCAGAGCAGAGAGGATTCATGGTTTTACACTGGTCCAGACCAGAGCAGAGAGGATTCATGGTTTTACACCAGAGCAGAGAAAATGGTCTGAACCGAGCTCCACTTCTGCTGCTGAGACCTGAAGGACTGCTGTATTTTAATACTATTGTTATCTTTTTAGAATCTATCTATATTAAAACATATTAATGCATTAAGAAGCCTAGAGCTGCCTGTCCCTCTGAGCAGGCCTTGGAAGGACCCTTGGGTAAGATGTTGGCCGGAGTCGTAGAGATCATAGGTCAAACATCTGTTTATAGTTCACATCATGTTACTCATGTTCATTTGCCTTTATTCTGTTTTCACACATTAAACTGATCATTTCCATTTCACTGTTTAAGCGGCAGGTAAAGTTTGATTATGTGCCACACCTCGTACCTTCGTTCTTGCTGCTGTGGTTGACTTTGCCGTGAGTCTCCGTGATGTCTTTGAAGGAGAAAAGGAACAGGACCATTTCACCTTTTTCATTTTTGATGGGAACGATGTCGAGCAAACACCAGAAACCTCCGCCTGAAAAAACAAAGGACACATGTAAGTCACACAGCAACGGAACATCCAAGACTATTGGAAAACAGAAACATTTTATTGCGTCAGTTTAATCAGACACTGTCCTTCCACGTCCGCCTCTGACGGTCAAGCGTGACGTCCTGGACCAAAGACACGCTGTGAGCTGTCACATTTATTCTCTTTCACATGTTCTGACCTTGATACAATGTCCTGCTTGTCCAAACTCAGGCCCACGAGCCAATTGCGGTCCTTTGTGCCATACTCTGAGGCCCTCTGCTGCTAACACAAAGTGGCCATTGAGGCACTTTGACAGTGTCATCCAACCAACTTCAGCTCCACCATTACAGTGCTGCTGTACCTTGTTGTAAACCTCAGACCCTCTAGAATCCCGTCGTTTACTTTATTGTTTTATGATTGTGACACAATATTCCAGATAAAATTCAGCTGTGAATCAATAAGGACTCAAATCCAGTTTTTAAGACGAATCCAGCTGGGACCATAACAGCTGAATAGACAAGAGTTTTGTCAACAACAAATCTATAACCAACACCTTTTTCACAAAGATAGAAATCCTGGTTTTATTCCTTGTTTTGTCCTTTGTCCTTTGTCCTTTGTCCTTTAGTTCTGCGCCACATGGTACTTTACCAGTGAGATTAGCTCCACGCGGTGAGTTCTGGCGCCCGGATCACAGACTTTCTGATTGGTGAAACGGTGGAGGGCGGGACATCGAAATGAAAACAATAACAAGATTTAGAGGCTGGAAAAGTAATTTAGAAATTCAAATATCTCTGAACTACTGTTATCAGTTAAAGAAGTGTTGGAAAAGAGCAGTTTATATTAATGACAGATCTTTTATAATCTGAGTGACTCTGTCTGTGCCAAATGTGACATGTGCATTGCTCCACTGTGAGATCAATAAAGTTTATCTTATCTTACTTTTAATTTTTTTATTATAATTATAAGTCTTTACTAAATGCTTGATGCGGTTTGATGTAGAAAGCCTAAAACCAAGTGTTAGAGAAGCAACAATGAGGCAGATTTCAGTTCCAAGCTTCAAGATTTAGTGATTCAAAAGTGATCCACAAATCGGTTAAAGAAACTATAAAAGGGTTAAATCCAGAGTCAGATTGTAAAGAATAAAAAGTCTGATCTAATCCCATGAGTAGTTTTTCCAAATGACTCACATTCTCTGCTGCCTGTGATTTCCAATGTCATGACTGCTCTACTTTGGTCCAGCCTTTTCTAAAAATACTGCTGAATTACAAATGGATTCAGATATTCAGAAGAACAGAGGGAGCAGGGACTGTAACGAGTGAGGCAGGAGACGAGACTGTAACGAGTGAGGCAGGAGACGAGACTGTAACGAGTGAGGCAGGAGACGAGACTGTAACGAGTGAGGCAGGAGACGAGACTGTAACGAGTGAGGCAGGAGACGAGACTGTAACGAGTGAGGCAGGAGACGAGACTGTAACGAGTGAGGCAGGAGACCCCGCCATAACCCGCTCATTAGTGAGTCTGCAGCAGATGTTTCACTGCTGCCACTCGGCCCCAGTGGGTTTGTGTTCACTGCCTTTGACACAGACGCTTCGCAAAACAGCCATTGAAAAAAGTTGGTTCTCTGCGACGAGAGGAAAACATGACCTAATGATTTGTAAAACCACATCTTAGAGCTGTTACTTTTCCATTCTGACTGTGGAGCACTGTGGAACTTTCCTAATGTCTTCATCTTCATCGGAGACGAGCAACTGATTTATAATGACTCTGTGGAGCAGAGAAAGGACAAGGTTTTAATTCACTTTATTATTGTATATCCATAAATCACAACAGCAGTGGAGCGATTATCTGATCAGAGTCAGGCTCTTCCGACCGAGTACGATCATTTCTGTCTTCTCCGGGTTAACAAGTAGGAAGTTACGTCTTTTCTGCAGCACTGAGTCTTTTTAACTGATCCGTCTGATTTGCTTTCATCAAAAGGTAAAGCTGTGTCTGCAGCTGTGTCTGCAGTAGTGTCTGCAGCTGTGTCTGCAGCTGTGGAAGTTAATTAACGCCAGCATGTAATGTGTGAAAAGAATCGGTCCGAGCACCGATCCTTGTGGCACACCGAATTCCACTCCAGAATGAGGCGGCGAGTTTTGATTCACATTTAAAGTGATATTGATCCGATAACTAGGATCCAAAGCAGCCAAGGGCTGTCCCTCTGTGATGTCACACTCCAGCCTCTGCAGTAGAGTTGTCCTGCTGCAGGTTTTACTATTGTTTATTCTGCTCATATTCTCCGCTGCTGAAGTACAACATACACATCTGTAAAAACCTCTGAACAGTAGAGCTCCAGAGTTTATTTTATAATCTCATTACTTATCATTTTATAATTTCATTTCTATTATCTTAAATAATAGAACCTGTTTGATGAGTCTTTTATTCTGCTGTAAAGTGCAACAATGACACCTCTGAACAAAGGACCATCACATAGACCTCTCTCTAAGTTTGAAGTACCTCTGGTTGGGAACAACCAGAGGTACAACAAGAGTACAATGTTTACTTTGGTCTATTCCGTCTTTACTGATGGTTTTACAGACATACTGTATGGTCAGAGAGTGTTTATGGGGTGTGTGTCTTAGTGTACTGGGTTCAGTACACTTCATTTGTGGAGATATGAAAGCACCAAACCAGTGCATCTAGGTCCACTACAGTCTTATCTCTAATCTGAGCAACTTAGACAAACTCAGAGAATTCCCCACAAACTCTAAGATTCTGCTGCACCATTGGAAGTTTGCGTGTTGGTTCTGTGACCGTTCACTGCTGAAATACTGGTTCAAGCCTTCATCACTTCCAGACTGGACTACTGCAGTACCTCTTCGGTCTCCCCTCCACCCATCTCCAACAACTGCAATGTACATCCAGAACTCTGCCGCCCGCCTGCTCACCCACCCCCGCTCCAGAGACCACATCACCCCTGTCCTCAAACAACTCCATTGGCTCCTTGTTCCATACCGCATCCAATACAAGGTCCTCCTCCTCCTCCTCCTCCTCCTCACCTACAAGTCCATCCATAACCTGCTCCCTCTTCCCTCACCGACCTCCTCCATCATCACTGTCCGTCCCACCGCCTCAGATCCACAGACTCCCACCTCCTCAACAAACATCTCAGGACTAAACACTGAACCCTGGGGGACCGAGCCTTCGCTGCAGCTGCCCCCACTCTCTGGAACTCACTCCCTCAACCAATCAGAAACTCAGACTCACTACAGAACTTTAAATCTCTTCTCAAAACCCACCTGTTTCAGAGAGACCCACAGAGAGAGAGAGAGACCCACAGAGAGAGAGACCCAAAGAGAGAGAGAGAGACCCACAGAGAGAGAGAGAGAGAGAGAGACCCACAGAGAAATAGAGACCCACAGAGAGAGAGAGACCCACACAGAGAGAGAGAGAGAGTCACAGAGAGAGAGAGAGACCCACAGAGAGAGAGAGACCCACACAGAGAGAGAGAGAGACCCACAGAGAGAGAGAGAGTGACCCACAGAGAGAGAGAGAGTGACCCACAGAGAGAAAGAGACCCATAGAGAGAGAGAGAGAGACCCAGAGAGAGAGAGAGACCCACAGAGAGAGAGAGAGAGACCCACAGAGAAATAGAGACCCACACAGAGAGAGACCCACACAGAGAGAGAGAGAGCCACAGAGAGAGAGAGAGACCCACAGAGAGAGAGAGAGTGACCCGCAGAGAAATAGAGACCCATAGAGAGAGAGAGAGAGAGAGAGACCCAGAGAGAGAGAGAGACCCACAGAGAGAGAGAGAGAGAGAGACCCACACAGAGAGAGAGCGAGACCCACAGAGAGAGAGAGAGAGACCCACAGAGAGAGAGAGAGGGTGACCCACAGAGAGAAAGAGACCCATAGAGAGAGAGAGAGACCCACAGAGAGAGAGAGACCCACAGAGAAAGAGACCCACAGAGAGAAAGAGACCCACAGAGAGAGAGAGAGACCCACAGAGAGAAAGAGACCCACAGAGAGAAAGAGACCCACAGAGAGAGAGAGACCCACAGAGAGAAAGAGACCCACAGAGAGAGAGAGAGACCCACAGAGAGAAAGAGACCCACAGAGAGAGAGAGACCCACAGAGAGAGAGAGAGCCCCACAGAGAGAGAGAGAGAGCCTTTCCTTCATTGTATTCTTCAATTTGTATTTGTATGTGTTTTTTAAAGTGTCTTTGAGTGTCCAAAAAAGCTCTGAATAAGTTCAATGTATTATTATTATTATTATTATTATTATTATTATGTATGATTATTGTTCTCGCTCACCGTCTTTCTTGTAGAAGTGCACCTCGGCCTGGTACTCCTCGCGTCCCTCCAGAGCCTTCTCCATCTGGTGTGCCACGTGCTCGCTGGTGTCCGTCCCGTACAGGAAGCGGCAGCTGCAGTTCTTCTGCATCACCTCCGTCCGCGTGAAGCCGGTCAGCTCGCAGAAGCCGTCAGAGCAGTAGACGATGGGGTAACCACGGTGACCCTGGGCGTTCCCCAACAGGAAGTTACTGTCTGTAGGTCAGAGAGGAGCGGGTTAGAGAGAGTCTGTCTCTGGTCTGTCTCTGGTCTCTCTGGTCTCTCTCTGGTCTCTCTCTTGTCTCTCTCTTGTCTCTCTCTTGTCTCTCTCTGGTCTGTCTCTGGTCTCTCTCTGGTCTCTCTCTGGTCTGTCTCTGGTCTCTCTCTGGTCTCTCTCTGGTCTCTCTCTGGTCTCTCTCTGGTCTCTCTCTGGTCTCTCTCTGGTCTCTCTCTGGCCTCTCTCTGGTCTCTCTCTGGTCTCTCTCTGGTCTCTCTCTGGTCTCTCTCTGGTCTCTCTCTGGTCTCTCTCTGGTCTCTCTCTGGTCTCTCTCTGGTCTCTCTCTGGTCTCTCTCTGATCTCTCTGGCCTCTCTCTGGTCTCTCTCTGGTCTCTCTCTGGTCTCTCTCTGGTCTCTCTCTGGTCTCTCTCTGATCTCTCTGGCCTCTCTCTGGTCTCTCTCTGGCCTCTCTCTGGTCTCTCTCTGGTCTCTCTCTGGTCTCTCTCTGATCTCTCTGGCCTCTCTCTGGTCTCTCTCTGGTCTCTCTCTGGTCTCTCTCTGGTCTCTCTCTGGTCTCTCTCTGTATTTCACACATGCCTCACATTGAAAACATTTTAAAATCAGTTTAGCTCCTGTTTTCTTTACCTCCTGAATCAAAGCTAGTTTCTCTCTTTGAAGCGACGCTAAAGCTTCTGCAAACATGAAACACACTTTGTTGACTGCAGTTTGGGACTAAATTAATTTCCCTCGGCTCTTATCGTGTGATTTCAGACTTGACTTTACGAAGCTATAGTGTCCGAGGAAAGAGCTGAGCCAAAGGTTAGACAAACACAACACACTTTTCTATATACAGTTTATATATATTCAACATTTTCACGTTGTCTCTCTCTGGTCTGTCTCTGGTCTCTCTCTGGTCTCTCTCTGGTCTCTCTGGTCTCTCTCTGGTCTCTCTCTGGTCTCTCTCTGGTCTGTCTCTGGTCTCTCTCTGGTCTCTCTCTGGTCTCTCTGGTCTCTCTCTGGTCTCTCTGGTCTCTCTCTGGTCTCTCTGGTCTCTCCCTGGTCTCTCTCTCTGGTCTCTCTCTGGTCTCTCTGGTCTCTCTCTGGTCTCTCTCTGGTCTCTCTCTGGTCTCTCTGGTCTCTCTCTGGTCTGTCTCTGGTCTCTCTCTGGTCTCTCTCTGGTCTCTCTCTGGTCTCTCTGGTCTCTCTCTGGTCTCTCTGGTCTCTCTCTGGTCTCTCTGGTCTCTCCCTGGTCTCTCTCTCTGGTCTCTCTCTGGTCTCTCTGGTCTCTCTCTGGTCTCTCTCTGGTCTCTCTCTGGTCTCTCTCTGGCCTCTCTCTGGCCTCTCTCTGGTCTCTCTCTCTGGTCTCTCTCTGGTCTCTCTCTGGTCTCTCTCTGGCCTCTCTCTGGTCTCTCTCCGGTCTCTCTCTCTGGTCTCTCTCTGATCTCTCTCTGGTCTCTCTCTGGCCTCTCTCTGGCCTCTCTCTGGTCTCTCTCTCTGGTCTCTCTCTGGTCTCTCTCTGGTCTCTCTCTGGTCTCTCTCTCTGGTCTCTCTCTGGTCTCTCTCTGGTCTCTCTCTGGTCTCTCTCTGGTCTCTCTCTGGTCTCTCTCTCTGGTCTCTCTCTGGTCTCTCTCTGGTCCTTCTCTGGTCTCTCTCTCTGGTCTCTCGCTGGTCTCTCTCTAGTCTCTCTCTGAGACTGGACTCTGCTCACTTCAGAGGAAAATCCAGATTCAGATTCATTTTATGTGACGTTTGCAGAAAGGGTGGATTGAAATACATCTGCAAAAGTCTCCAGTTTGCACCAGTACATCCATAAAACAAGCAAAACCAAATCTCTCTGCCTAAACATGGCCGTCTGTGGAGTACATTGGCTGCGGTGTGACTTCAGCACCGCGGACAGCTCCCTTCGCTGTGTGTGGAGTTATGACTGAGCGCGACCGTCTTTCTCTGGAGATCTTGAACCAATATCTACACGGCTCTTTATGCACGCGCTCTGGCCCTGCCGCGGCTACACCACATACATCTCTGTGATAGCTACAGTGTAATGTCGTTCCCCGTGGTTTCAGAGGTCCCTATTAAGTCACGGCTGGGTTAGATACACAAAGTGGATGTGTCTCTGCTGAATATGAAGTGTGCTGCAGATGCATCAGCTGTTGGCCTGGAGTGGATTTTAGACACGGCGCTAGCTAGTTAGTGTCAAATCAGCCAAGAGAATGGTTTAAACGCATAAGTACTGACCGGGACAAGCTTCTTAGACAGTTTTGTGAGTCGAGGAAATCATATAAGTCTAAAGTATGCATGAAAATAAAGAAACAGAACATAGAAATCTGTATTTTAAGGTACATTTAGACACTTCTAACCGGATGCTAATGAGAGTAACGCAGATAATAACAATAATGCATCAGCTTTTTTGGACACTCTAAGTCTCTTCACATCATTAATAATTCTCTCCAAACACGGTGGTGATAAACTACTGAAGCCACAGCTGCCCTGGGGCACACTGACAGAAGCGAGGCAACCAGTCTGTGCCATTGGCCCCTCCCACCACCACCAACCATTCACACACACACCAGACTTATTCTAGGCAATGGGGGTGAAGTGTCTTGGCCAAGGACACAACGACAGCAGTGTCAGTGGAGAAAGTCTTGTGGTGGACTCGAACCCATGACCTTCAGGCTCAAAGGCCAATACTCTACCAACTGAGCCACTGTCGCCAACTCTGTTTAGAAAGTTGATTCTGTTTATTAGTTCGTTTTATATTAAACACAAATATCGTAAACATAAACATTTAACCCGGGTCTTTCTGAGTGGAGTTTGCATATTCTCCCTGTGTGTGCGTAGGTTTCCTCCAGGTACTCCGGTTTCCCCCACCACTAAAAACATGAAAATTAATTAGCCCAAGGTACTGGAGTGATGTGTTCATGAACATGTACTGTCCCAACCAAATACACCATAAATAAAATAAAATAAGAAACTCAACTCAAAATCTTAAATACTTAAATACAATAATTACAATAATCCCAGGGCAGAGCAGAACTTAATCCAGAGTAAACAAGTGGAAATCTTCAAAAAATCGATTCCACAGATTAACTGCAGAGACACAAATGAGAGGGCGCAGTTCAAACTCCAGCCACAGGGGGGCCACAGATGGACAGGACTGGACTTTGTAAAGGACCTGTCTTTCATATATTTGTGCTGGAGACACTTGTTGTTTAATAAACGATTGGCCTCTGACACTGTTCGTTAAAGCGAATCAGCAGCAGGTTTGATGTCTGCGTTTAATTCTGCTCCATCTCCGCAGAGAGAGACTTCACATTAGTTTGGGCGACTAGGTTACTATGGCAACAAGGTGGTTTTCTCCGGACCAGAAGTTCCCAAATGAATCCACAGCATCGAACCTCCTCATGTTTCGAGAGCAGAGCTTTCAGACGGTTTCTGTTTCATACTTAAATAACAACGTATTTTTATCAGTGTTTGAGTTTCAGTCCAAAGTCTAATGTTGGTGGACATAGAAAGTAGGTAATGCTTATTTATTTATATAGCGCCTTTCTCAGACCAGAGTCAAAGCAGTTTACAATTGTGGGCATTAGTTTCTGACTCCACACAGAGATGGGCGGGGCCAGTACAGGAGGCACAGACCTATTGTACATGTTTTTAGTGGTAGGGGAAACTGGAGCACCCGGAGGAAACCTACACAGACACGGGGAGAACATGCAAACTCCACTCAGAAAGGCCCTGTTCTGACCGGGATTTGAACCCAGCCACTGTGTCCCTTTAAGTCCACAGTAAAGATATGAGAAATGTTTCTATTATTCACAGAAGGGTTTGATCCCCATAAAATCTGACCTTTATGGTTCTCTGTCAGGTTCTCTGTCAGGTTCTCTGTCAGGTTCTCTGTAGGTTCTCTGTCAGGTTCTCTGTAGGTTCTCTGTCAGGTTCTCTGTCAGGTTCTCTTTCAGGTTCTCTGTCAGGTTCTCTGTCAGGTTCTCTGTCAGGTTATCTGTAGGTTCTCTGTCAGGTTCTCTGTAGGTTCTCTGTCAGGTTCTCTGTCAGGTTCTCTTTCATGTTCTTTGTCAGGTTCTCTGTCAGGTTCTCTGTCAGGTTCTCTTTCAGCCACCGTGGGCGGCACGGTGGCTGAGTGGATAGCACTCTCGCCTCTCAGCAAGAAGGTCCTGGGTTCGAATCCCGGTCGGACCAGGGCCTTTCTGAGTGGAGTTTGCATGTTCTCCCCGTGTCTGCGTAGGTTTCCTCCGGGTACTCCGGTTTCCCCTACCACTAAAAATATGTCCAATAGTTCTGGCATGCGCCTCCTGTACTGGCCCCGCTCCCATCTCTGTGTGGAGTGAGAGACAAATGCCCATAATTAACAATTGTAAACCGCTTTGAGACTCAGATCTGCAGTAAAAAGGCGGTATATAAATAAAAACTTAGTTAGTTACTTAGTTAGTTAGTTCTCTGTCAGGTTCTTTGTCAGGTTCTCTGTCAGGTTCTCTGTCAGGTTCTCTGTCAGGTTCTCTGTAGGTTCTCTGTCAGGTTCTCTGTCAGGTTCTCTGTCAGGTTCTCTGTCAGGTTCTTTGTCAGGTTCTCTGTAGGTTCTCTGTCAGGTTCTCTGTCAGGTTCTCTGTCAGGTTCTCTGTAGGTTCTCTGTCAGGTTCTCTGTCAGGTTCTCTTTCAGGTTCTCTGTCAGGTTCTCTGTAGGTTCTCTGTCAGGTTCTCTGTCAGGTTCTCTGTCAGGTTCTCTGTCAGCTGAGGTCGAGCTGTTTTAGTTTATATTGAGTTCTATGGGACTTTTTTCTGAGTAGCCCACGTGAATTTAGTCTGGTTTAGTCTGGTTCAGTCTGCAGTACCACGAGAATCCCCCGAGCACATGGGTTCTTCAGCTCCAAGCTAGTAACACCCTATCCAGTTATTATAATAGATCCATGGTAATATAAGAAATCAATAAATAAATAAACAACAGCGACGAGAGAAGAAGAAGACTTGAACATTTGAATTCCTTTTTCTGTCCTACATCTGTCTCCCATCCGTCCTCGGTGTTACAACAAATGTCTTCCCCTTCGCGGCTCAAGTTAAAACATCAGACTTCACATTTCCTCCCTGGCGGGTGTCGAGGCGTCACGCTGACAGGAAAACGAGACGGAAAATGTCTGAATCTCCCGGAGCCCAGAGAGAGCCAACCTGAGGAGGAGCAGCATTAAGCAGCTGCTACCTCCACAATCTCTCTAATTGGCCACACTCAGCAGAACGCCGTCCATGGGGGGTGCCTCTGTTCCGAGCCGTGACAGCTCAAAAAATCAAACTGTCAGGGCTGGAATTATAGGAGAAAGTGTTAGGCGGATCTACAAGCGCCCGAGAGGGATTTTCAGCTTGTGTATGGGTTGCACTGACTTAGCTACATGTGCGATACGTCGGGTTTAGGAAGTTATGAAAGTGTATTACCGAAGGAGATGGGTTTAAAAATAGGTCTTTCTGACTTCTGGGTTTGAGGAGCGAGGAAGAAGATCCAAAATAGTTTGTTGGTTACACAAGGCTGCACTGAAATGTTTCCTTTCTGAGGCTGTGACATGATCTTTGAGATAAAAGTGAGTACGTTTTAAAGGTAGTATGGTTTTTAAGGTAGGATGAGAATGACCTGTGTGTGTCCAGATAGAGATGATTCAAAAGAAAAGTCTGTGGCATTTATTTACACAAAACTATCAGACTTT